TTCCAGTCCGGTTTTTTTAATCGAAGTTACCTCCTCTAATCTTTGACCTTCCTAGATCTAACAACAAGGCGGAGGTAGTAGGTGACCTTATTTCTGGTGGGTCATTTTCATCTCGTCATGGAATCATCAAAGGGTAATACGTGACCGTTTTATAGGCGACGTTCTGCCGATCCATCCTCAGTCATGCCCAGGGAGAACCAGCCCTTTTCTTTCCACGGCTACTTATTCATTCCCGCTATGCTTCACTGTACGCAGCACAGGGACGCGTCAGTTGGCCCATAGCGAAGCTCCCTGGCGTCTGCTCCATAAACCTGTGCATCATGCCAAATAGCTTTGTTGGAAAATAGAAATGACTTGTCTTTGGTCAAGCTGATCCACGGAGGAAACGAAAATGGCGAGATCATCTGTGATCATTAAGTGACTCATTCCAATGTCATGCCGTAGAAGATTCTTCTGGAAATTTTACTTATCTAGGTTGCTTCTGCTGATTCTAACTATTAAAATAATTAAGATAGGAGTTGACAAAACAGATCAAAATCTTTAATTGAGGCCTGTGAGAAGTATTAAAGTTTTTGACCGCAGTAGTTGGCTGATAACTTCATATTCCTGTGTAGTGCATCTTATGTTCTCAAGACGATTACTCTGCCCTGTCTATTTCAGGCCTATAATCGTTGTACAGCCTGACGGAAAGTGAAGTCACATTCTCGGTGTTGTGCTTGAGATGAAAGCCACCCTGCTCGTCATCACTTATGTTCTACCAATTCATAGCATCTCGTTCTCAGACGTCGCGCAAAATTCCCCGTGTTTACGTAGAAAATTGAGTTAAAATGTATTTCACCACGCTACAGTCTTACTGATACCCGGAAGTAACACTTAACCATTCCGATTCTGGGCACACTGTAAGAATTGTCATTAATCCATTCATACATGGTTCAGAGTACCAAACAGAGCAGACGCCAAAGCATTTACTATCAAAGCGTTTCGCTACCTTTCCGGTAGCGTCGTCAGGGCACAAGTGACTAGAGAGGGTCATAAGCCATCTTATATACACCAGAAATAGAGCCAACTGTTAACAACAGTAAAAAGCATCAGTGACAGATCTTAGTACTCACGACATCAGGGATTTCTGTTTATCTAACTTATGTCCTTAATGCGGCAACAACCTCAAGCGGCACTTCCAGAACTGCACGTGATATGGCTCACAGAACAAAGGCAAAAGAACATAATTTCAGTTGACGGCTTGACTTTTAAATTTAATCTTTCCCTAATTTGTTATCACCTTTTAGAGTTAGCTAATCTCTGCCATCGTCTGACCGTAGCGTAATGACAGGCTGTCTAAGAGCTCCCAGGTTCGACTCAGCCTGAAGCCAATCTATGTCTTAACCATTGAATGTTTTGAGCAGCGAATTCACCAGGGACGCCAATCGGTAGCAAGTCAGATGTGCCGCGTTCAGACTCCACTAAGGGTCATTGGTCTTTCTTCCGTTCATGAGTACCACCTTGTAGAAACTACACTCCATGCTTGCAACATAGTTGTTGTACACTCTGCTCTTAAATGAAACATTTATGGTTAATGGGACAGAAATGAAGATAATTGACTCCATGCAAAATGGGGGCGAAATTCGCCTCGTCATTATGGAGCACCAACATTCCAACGAATAGGTTATATGCTTTTTTCTATCACTTGCCTAACCCAGAGTAAGAATATTATTCTTGCAAAGTGTCTTTTATTAGTATCGGCATGGGTGGTGCAGATTAATAAAAAATGAGTTTAAATATTCCTCCATTTCTGGAAAATGTTTTCTTTGACTTTTGAAAAAGTTTTTTTTTTCACGCTCATAGCACCTCAAGCAGTACCAGATCTTCATTCACGCAGATGACAGCAATCCTATCAAAGTATTTAGCTAGTGATCGGCAGTCAAAGTTCGGTTTTTCTTCAAATGGCTTCCACCCCCTGCAGATCGTATTGTGAGTTTTCAAGTCTTGACGCATAGAATGTGCGAAAAGAGGCAGACCTGCTTGCATAGCAAATCACATTTCAACACACATTGCTTCCATAACTTATTGAATTTTCGATTTGTACTAAGCATATTTTTCCTATGATGAACCAAATGAACCACGCCGCCTTATCCTACAGCAGGCCAAAACATTTATAGCTGTGTTAGTTAGCTATCACTCCGTCTTCATATCTGGTTCTTGGCTGCGCACTGGATTAAACATCGCTGACAAATCGTCCACGAATCTTTCCTCGAACACAACCTTCCTCAACCAGAGGCACAAACTTAATATAACAAGTAACCTTTGATCTACCGGTCTTGTGAATCACCTGTCATCATGCATTTTTCGACAGTGTAGCCATTCGTATACTCTGTACATTCGTATATATCCAGCATCACAAAAAATGGACTCGGTAAAACCATTACCAAGAGGATGAGTGATCGCTGATGCA